ACGCATTACGATCACTGATTTTTTAAGCAACGGTTGCGCTCAACTACTGCGCCTTCTGAACCTACCCAATGAAACCATTTCCAAACAAAGCGAAACCTTTTTCAAATTAAATGAAACTTCCTTTAAGAATGCTTCATTTTATTTGAAAAAAGTTTAACTTAATTTGATTTAGTTTCATTTAAACTGAAAATGCTATATGTATGTATGTATGTACATACATTTTATTTGGTACTGGCTTTCGCTACGATTGAATCTTATCAGTGTGCAATTTTTATTAACATACGTTCATATACATACAAACAAATGTACATAAATATAAACACAAGTATGTATCTATAGCTATAATAGGATATGAATAATATACTTATATACATATGTACATATAGATATGTATATATCGCAAATGCAGCGTTGCGCAAAAGCGCTCCAATAAAGTGGCAAAAAACAGCTTATCAACCAACCATTGGCACCGAAATTGCGCATATGGAAACTGTGCATTTAGACATTATTTCGGTTTCAACCGAAACTGTGCATGTATGCTTTATTTCGGTTTTTGCCATATGCATTATTTCGGTTTTAAACCGAAACTGTGCATGTATGCACTACTTCGTTTTTTTTCATATGCATTATTTCGGTTTTAAAACGAAAGTATGCATATGCATAATTTCGGTATTTTCTCATATGCATTATTTCGGTTTTCAACCGAAACTGTGCATGTATGCATTACTTCGGGTTTTTCATATGCATTATTTCGGTTTTCAACCGAAACTGTGCATGCATGCATTATTTCGGTTTTTGTTATATGCATTATTTCGGTTTTCAACCGAAACTGTGCATGTATGCATACCTTCGTCTTTCACATATGCATTATTTCGGTTTTCATCCGAAACTATGCATGTATGCTTTATTTCGTTTTTTGCCATATGCATTATTTCGGTTTTGAACCGAAATTGTGCATGCATGCATTATTTCGGTTTTTGTTATATGCATTATTTCGGTTTTCTAACGAAAGTGTGCATATGGATAATTTCGTTTTTTCTAATATGAATTATTTACTTCTACTTAGTAAGGGTTTTAATACCTAAGCGCGGCTGAAAGCCGCCTACGCAAAGAAAAGTTCTGCGCAAAAATACTTCCGCTCTTTTTTCCGGCAATACAGAAAGGAAAATTGTACTTGATAAGGGTTATAATCCCTAAGCGCGGCCGAAGGCCGCCTACGCATAAAGAAGTTCTGCGCAAAAATATTTCCGGTCCTCTTTTCCGGCAACACAGAAAGGAGAATTGTACTTAGTAAGGGTTATAATCCCTAAGCGCGGCCGAAGGCCGCCTATGTAGAAAGAAGTTCTGCGCAAAAATACTTCCCGTCCCCTTTTCCGGCAACACAGAAAGGAGAATTATACTTAGTAAGGGTTATAATCCCTAAGCGCGGCCGAAGGCCGCCTACGCAGAAAGAAGTTCTGCGCAAAAATACCTCCGGCCCCCTTTTCCGGCAACACAGAAAGAAGAATTCTACTTAATAAGGGTTATAATCCCTATGCGCGGCCGAAGGCCGCCTATGCAGAGAGAAGTTCTGCGCAACAATACTTCCGCCCTTCTTTTCCGGCAACACAGAAAGGAGATTTGTACTTAGTAAGGGTTATAATCCCTAAGCGCGGCCGAAGGCCACCTACGCAGAAAGAAGTTCTGCGCAAAAATACTTCCGGCCCCCTTTTCCGGCAACACAGAAAGGAGAATTCTACTTAGTAAGGGTTATAATCCATAAGCGCGGCCGAAGGCCGCCTACGCAGAAAGAAGTTCTGCGCAAAAATACTTCCGGCCCCCTTTTCCGGCAATACAGAAAGGAGAATTCTACTTGGTAAGGGCTATAATCCCTAAGCGCGGCCGAAGGCCGCCTACGCAGAAAGAAGTTCTGCGCAAAAATACTTCCGGCCCCCTTTTTCGGCAACACAGAAAGGAGAATTCTACTTGGTAAGGGTTATAATCCCTAAGCGCGGCCGAAGGCCGCTTACGCAGAAAAAAGTTCTGCGCAAAAATACTTCCGCCCTGCTTTTCCGGCAACACAGAAAGGAGAGTTCTACTTAGTAGGGGTTATAATCCCTAAGCGCGGCCGCAGGCCACCTACTCAGAAAGAAGTTCGTTTACATGTATGCACTATTTCGGTTTTTGTCATATGCATTACTTCGGTTTTTGTCATATGCATTATTTCGGTTTTGAACCGAAACTGTGCATGTATGCATTACTTCGTTTTTTCTCATATGCGTTATTTCGGTTTTCAAACGAAAGTGTGCATGTATGCATTACTTCGGGTTTTTCATATGCATTATTTCGGTTTTCAACCGAATCTGTGCATATATGCATTATTTCGGTTTTTTTCATATGCATTATTTCGGTTTTCAAACGAAAGAGTGCATATGCATAATTTCGGTTTTTCTAATATGCATTATTGCGGTTTTCAACCGAAACTGTGCATATATGCATTATTTCGGTTTTTTTCATATGCATTATTTCGGTTTTCAACCGAAACTGTGCATATATGCATTATTTCGGTTTTTTCGTATGCATTATTTCGGTTTTTTTTCATATGCATTATTTCGTATGCACAGTTTCCATATGCATAATTTCAGGGTGCCTTTTTTTCCACATATAAATGTTGCTGATAACATTAATACTGGCAATCAAAATGAATCATAACACCAGCAAAAGGTAAATGCAAGCGTTATGCACTGCAAACGAGGAAAGAGAACCAACGCTTCGATTGGCTGATATGAAAGTCGCTTATACGCAGTGGCACACAAAATACTTACATACTTTTAATATGTGCGTGCTTTATGGGGCAGCTTAACTTAAATGCAGTAGGTTTTTTTTTTGTTTATAAACAGCCGACGTCAATAGAAACCCTGTGCAATTATTTGCAAACTCAAAATGCTTACGAATATGTATACTTAAACCCATACATGTATATAGGTACATACATTGTTTATGTATATTAGATAAAATCATATACATATGTACATATGTATAAGCTTATGATAAGACTGCTAACATAAACAATTTGGTAACTCCAGATTGATTTTAGACCTATGGTCGCAAAGTTTAAAAAATATCGCATACAAATTAACCCGCCTTACTTTGATGAGTTTTGGCTATATTTCCATGTAGGGATGGCAGAAAAAATAAAATAATCGATTAATTACAAATAATCGATTAATGAAACACAAAACTACGATACAATTAAATCGTAAATTGGGCAAAAAAATCGATTAATTTAATCAAATGATTAATCCCTACCATCCCCATTTCCATGGTTTATTTTATGTCTAACATTTTTTTTAAAGTCTGGCTAGTTATACAACAAACACCATATAAATTATCTTTTCAAACTTTATACAAAAATTATAAAAATTCGACAAATTTTCAACAAATTTTTAAACTTTTTATTCCGAATTTTTAGAAATAATTTTAGTATGCAGTTTTGTAGCCCATTTAGTTGAGAAAATGCAAGTTTCAAGTGGTTCGAAAATACTGGCTATTTTTGACAATTTTTTTTTTTTTTTGGACAACAAACATTTTGCACGACAAATTTGTCAATTCCAATTTCGTTTTGAAGCGTTCAGTTCTGGTATTATACTCATACATATGTATGTATGTAGATGTAAATGTATTTTGCAACTGTTCCCTGCAAGCCATGGCTGAGCAGTTTCCCCTCAAATTCGACAGATTTACACACTCCTTCGCAACTTTTTAGCTATCACACGCACACATTTACAATTTAAAGCGAGTAAGAAATATGGCAGTTTTTATGACAGTAGGCTTTGACGAAAAATGTCACATTTGATACAAATTTTAGAGTATAAATATTTTTTTATAATTTTACATGCAATAATGACACAATTCAAAATTCAAAAAACAAAAACTGTTACTACTGTTAAGTGGCTCTTGTCTGTAATCCTCGTCTAATCCATTTCCAACCTTGACTAAAGTAAGCAGTAGGGATTGCTAAAGCAAGTACTAAATATTAGACATGGATTCGACATGGATTAGATATATGAGCCACTTAACAGTAGTAAGGGTTTTATTTTTTGAATTTTGAATTGTGTCACTATTGCACAGGACCATAGATATGTACAAAGTATGTTATTTGTTTGTACATATGTACTATAAGAGTTTTGTATTAATGAACGTTTTTTAAATAAACAAATGCATTTTTAAAAGTAAAAATTTTGATTTTCTACTTATTTGTTTTTTCCTGTACTGAGGAGTTTATAACGACAACAATGAGTAGTTTGTTTATTAGCACTGATGTGTTTATAAAAACGAAAATAAGTAGTTTGGTAGTTGCTAGAGCAGAGCAGATATATTTTTCATTAATCAAAGTTTCCAATTAGTAAGAAGAGGTAAAATATTACACCGACAAAGGGAAAGTGCTCAGTTTTATCCCATGGCCTGAACAAAAGTGAGTATTTTAATAAGCACTTTTGTAATTTTTGATAATGATAAAATGAGCACTTATTTGATGCTCAGCTGTCTTGCAGGGTTTATAACTGCATATATGTACTTATACATAAGAATATGTATTTATTTACATTTCGGTTCGTTCCTAGAGACCAGCTAAGCCAAAATAATACAGTTGTAATTTAAGTGTGCAGAAATGGCCGGCAGCCCTTATTTTATGTCAAGTTAAAAAATTAATTGAATTCTTTCAAGAAATATTTTTAGAAAAAAACTTGCGAGAACATACATTTGTGTTAGTAACCAATTGTGACAAAAAATATAATTTAAGTAAAGCAGCATTTTCTGCGAACTGCGTCAAATGCCGCTCAATGTAGGGTTTCGAGAAGTAAGTAAGTAAGTAAGTAAGTAAGTAAGTAAAGTAACTTTATTT